ATAAGAGCAATGTATTTTTAAAGAAGTTAATTTCTACTTAAAACCAAGATCAATACAGTATGGGAGTGAAAGCACTGCAAATTACAATATACTACTGTAGCAACAATAAACATGCCTTTATCAATCAGTTAGCAATTTCCCCTCTACCTCTGAAGTAACATCAGAAAAAGAGTTAACATTTTTGTTTTAAGTAAGAATCTTCAAGTAAAGTCTGCTATTCTAAGCTCCAAAGCAAATGAAATATTTTACATCTATGAGTGTAATTTTGCCCTTTTTCAGCATGTTTAACCTACCTATGACATTACTGAACATGCCTTATATAACTTGACTACTCATTTCAGCTGAGGAATATCTCATAGGATGCTGACAGTGAACATTAAAAGTGAATGAATTTTATTTCTTGCTATAGCAGAAGGAAAACTACAGCTTTAAAACTAGCCATTTTTACCAATAAACTAAACTCGACCAAGCTACTATTCACAATAGCTTTCTCTCTTTATTATCTTACAAAGTAAGGAAAGCAAAATGGCTTTGAACTTCTGATTCATACTTAAAATACTGAAGGCTGTATGCAAAGAAACCCACACTGAAATAAATCTATAGACTGTTATTATATCATTTATGGCAATGCAAAATTTTAGCCAGCTTGAATCTAAAAACAGTTTCTAATGTTGCATGCCCAAATATTGCTGGAAAGTAATCCCTGGGACCAATCAGTGTGCATCCAAAGTCGGTATACTTGCTCCTTCTGCTGAATTTGCTTTTTTACTGCTTAAGTGAGCAGAAATTTAACTGCATTACATACAGAAGAATAATATTACCACAAGCTAATATACCAGCATTGATGATAAAACCAAGGTTCATTACGTAAAAGATATTAATCTTTTGACTGTGACATACAACTCACACTGTACTGCTGCTCTTATTTTTCTAAACTGGCAGCCTGAGCTATAATTTCTGGGACCGATTCCCCAGTCCCCTGTATTTCTCATTGTTCAAACCTTTAGGAATTAATTCCACACGCACACACAAAAAAACACACAAATCATAATAAGGGATAGTCAGACATCAGATATACATAGGGAGAGACTTCAAGGGGGAAAAAAAAAAAGATTTAAAAAAAATATGACAGCAATAGACCACAAAGAAACAATTAACCCAATCCCTCCTCTGTCAAAGAAACATTCAGATCACAAGGAAACATGCACATAAAGCATATGCAGTGATAACAAGAAAATACTAAATTTAATGTCAAAGTAATCCTGTCCAAAAAAATAATAATAATAAAAATCTGGCAAAGGACTCTGTATTAATAGAAAATCCAGAAAATCTTGGTGAAGATTTAAGCACGCTGTTAAGTATGATAGCAAATGGCTGACAGTTTCAAAGAATGCTGCCTTCATATTAACAGTCTCTGATCACCTCTATTTGCAGAAACTTCCTATTAGAAGCCTAGCATGTGAAGGACTTCAAATATATTAATTTGAATATAAATTATCTGTATTAGAAATGGCTACAAACAGACTATCCAACTAAAGTGACATGATTTGCAGATGAACTGTAAAGCTCTAATTTTTTAATTTTCTGTAACAGCACTAGCTCATTTCTTCTTCTCCTTCCTCCATTTTGTTTGCATTTATGAGTTGATTGAACCCAGATAAACTAAAATATAAATCAGTGTATCAATGCACATATCCCTCCTTGTAGAAGAATAGAACAGATTAAATCAACATTTGCGGTTCCAAGAGACTGCAGTATCAGCCCTTACTGGCATCATTTCTGTCCAGAAACCACAGAGCACGAGAACTGAGTTAAGTATACATGCTGAACTACATTTCTGGTAAACTGCAGAATACGGATGAAGCACGTTCATAAAGGGGAACATAATCGTTAGTACATTGATACTGATTACTCCCTTGATATCCAACAACAAACATTAGGGAACACAATCAGAAAAATCTCCTTTGACTGGCATCCATCTAGCGACAGATCTCTAACTCGCACGTCAGCATGCGCCAGGAAAGCTAATGAGGCGTCAGTTTGCCAGTCTCTCCCAGCGGTTCTTCAATCTCTGTCTTGGATGTAAACATTTTATTCACCAAAATCTATTGTCTCTCTTCTGGTGTTCTCACAAAAGCATGCTGATAAATTAGATCACAGAGAGAAGCAGATGCATGAAAATAATATCAGGCTCCAGTACAAGCCAGAAAATACCAGTAACTGTCACGTCCAATAAAACTCTTAATTACTTCCTTCAGTCAATAAGCAGACGGGTGCTTAATAGGTAATTTAAATGATTCTAAGACAGCTTTTTCCTTCCTACCAAAAATATATCCTTATCTACTAGAATGACAATCATCATGTAAAGAGGAAAGACTGGAAAGAATATAATGGTATATGACTTCCTGTTGGGATGCTGCTACTTTCACATAAAATTAAGGTATCAGGAGGCCAAACAAATTATTGAGATTAATAAACTAGTGTAATCTCATCATCATCTGGCCGAATTATATCACAGACAATTCATGCTTAAGTGTCAATTTTAGCCTGTAACATCTAACATAGCTAATGTTAAAAAAGCAACAGCAGCAAAAGCACTCTAATCTCTAATTAAAAAAGAGAAATTTCACTACAAACTACCACATATTTAGATATTTAATTACTTTACTAGATGAATCTTAATATTAGTATCATCCTTTTTGTGCAAATTACCATAATACTTTATGAAATATGCTCTGTCTAGCCCTCAAGGTATCCAAACATATCCATATATGATACAGATCATGGGCCTACACTGTCTCTAATTTTCAGAAAGATGCTTAACAGCTAATTGAAGTATCCTGTCTTGCAAAACTGAGCTTTAGATTAAAAAAAAAAAAGAGAGAGAGATTATGGCTTTCTCAAACTACTGATAAAGAAGAAGCAAATGAATGACTTTAGGCCTGGAACAAGGACAGAGATGTATTGACAAGGAACCAGCTAAAATTACAGCACCGAGCTCAACAATGCTTGAACTGATGCTAACTATATTGTTACAAGAAGAAGAATCAGTTAATAGACATGCTCTCTTTCTTAGAAGTGATGAAAATCTATTTGCAGCTGTATGAAAACAGTGACCCATAATTGAGAAGAGAAACCCAGCAAGACTCCTATACCTCTTAAAGTATAAAATGAGAGCACTAAACAAAATACAGGTACAAAGCACAGGTAAACACTGAAGCATACAACGATGCTGGAATCAGACCTGTAGCCTCTGATGCGATATTAGGTCCATTCTGTACTACAGAGTATCAAAATGGTAATGGGAGCATGACAACCAATCTACAGTTCTGCTAACTAAAGAGATTCTGGTGTACAGTACTGGAAAAAAATATGTGAATTAGACAACTAAAACATTGAGGCAATATGAACAAGGTGTATATTTGATTTCCATTTTGATGCACAGTTCAATAAACTTCACAAGTCCTGTCCGACAGAATAAAGTAGCTTTATTCATCCAGTTTGGCTGGCTGTATATGTGCATGCAGGGTAAAGCAAAGTTTCTCTTTTTGTTTACTTCAGAAAAGCAAATCCCTACTTTGGTAAACTTTTTAGCTTTTGTAGCCTGTCCAAACAAGATGGAGGCTCTCTGATGTTAAAGCACTCATGTATGTTCCCAAATAAAGAGCATCTGAGAAGTTCTGAGTATTATTCAAACTTTTTGGATCCCTATGGTATCTAGTTCCAGAGCACTAAATTTAATGGCTGTAGAATTATTCACACATTTATTGTGTACAGAACTCTGTTTACTATATTAATGTTGTTTATTGTCATTACTTATGGACTTGCTTCTTAATTCCTACTTCATTCCATCCCTTGAATTTCCCGAAGTTATCATATAGTATATAATACCATGCATAACTGCAATTTATAGTGACAACACAGAGAAGCATAAACTAAATTATTGCCTAACATCAGGCTTCTAATTTATGGAATTAAACAGTTAAACAGTGGAATTTTGTGGTCACTACTCAGCATTACAGTGAAAATATATATACTGTAAATATCTAATGCCACATCAGAAACTCAGTCTTACACACTCCCAGGCAAGACTTTACTCTGTTTCCAGTTGTTTTCTGGCTCTTAGAAGAGAACACAAAACTGCTCTAATAAAATATCTAAAGGATTGTTCATCCAGAGAAATTGGTATGAGGCCTTTTGTTTCTTTCTAATACTCAAAAGGTCTTTTCCACAACATCTAAAAACCGAGCCATTACTCTTCCACCTCTTCTTACATTTGTGAAACCGTAAACCTTATTTGTAATCTCTTGCAAACTACTCATTAGATATAGTTAGAACCATATCTAGAGATAGGAGAAATGTAGAAGGGCTATGGTCAAAATAATCTTTTCAATGACTTCTAAAATGACAGGGAAAAATTGATTTATCAAAATGACAGAATTACAGAGGTTCATTATTTCAGTATGAACCTAAGCAAAAGCCTGGAAATCAAGACATTGTCTATGCCCAGAAGTCAGTAGCTTTTTATTTTTTTTTTTGAATGAGAACTACAGTAACTTAAAAGACTGACTGTAAAATATCCAACTTCTATTAAAAAGACCAGGAAAAAGTAGATTTAAAGCAGCAAGGGGGATTACGATTTACACCTAAGGTCTGTATTCAAAAGACTTTTGTGTCATTTTTAGCTACGTTTACTCAATGAAAAGCTTGCTCTTAAACACAGTTGCTCTTAGTTCTAACAAGGAAGATTTGATTTGTGAACACATCCATCTTAAACGACCTATTGTTCAGAGTTTTTTGCAATGATAGATCCACTGTTCTTAGAAGAATTCATGTGAAAACAGTACAGAAGTATATGATGTGGATTCAGAGCCCACACTGAATGCTTTATATGCAATAACCCTACACAGTTTATATTTCCCGTTGTTTTTGAAAATGCCTATATATGGCCTATGCACAGGAAAAGACTACCAGAAAAAAATACTAAACAGTACACTCACCTTCATCACTAGTTGCTTGCTGTTTAACCAAAGTCATTGGAGATCTAGCTGGGGGTTTATTTAGTGGATGCCGCCAACTTTTAGATATTTTCTTGCTTTCAGCTTCTGCTGACTGAAAAGGAAAATCACAACTAATTTAGCATGGACTTCTGCAGTTAATTTTGATGAACAAATCTAGTCTCCTACAAATGAGCACAGATATCAGTTTTGCATGTATGACCAGGGTACCCAAAGTACCTTTAGTGTAACAATAAAATATTTGTCTCTAATGCAAAATACAATCTCTAACTAAGAAAAAGTAATCTTTTGCACACATAAACTATTTGAGGTGTAGGTTTCCACAGTCCATCCAAACTTACAGAGCATAAATCCTGTTTTGCTCAGGTGATGTTTGAGAGAAAGAACAGTTCTGGAGAGCTAGAAATATAATGTAGCTGTGTTTTGGTAAATGTGCCCAGAATGCATTAACTTCATGTCACAGAACACAAAATACCTGAGGAAATGCTATATCCTGGAAATTAAAAAAAAAATAATAATCTGGAGTTCAGACAAGAAACTAAGACTCCTGACATAGGATTAGCACACTGGGATATAAGGAAACTTCTCCCTCAAACACTCTTATGTACTTTCAGCTTGAAGTTAGCCAAGCTTCAAGAACTAAAGCCAATGCTGCAATCCCCAGAAGTGCAGAATTCCCAATTCCAGATTTGGGTGCCATGAGGGATATCACAAAGTAAATCAGTTGCTGGTCACAACTGGAGATTCAGGAGTAGAAGAAGCACAAGTGTACTGACAAAAAGTTGAGAACAGTCTCACATGATTTCTATGGACCACCTAACTTTGTTCCTCAGTACCTAGAAAGCAACCCAACAAGTTACACACGTGCCCCTTGAATGCTGTGAGGGTTGAAAATTACTTCTGTTAAGTATGAAGGAAATTACAAAATGAGATAGTATTTACTATGATAACCAGAGGGAAGAAGATGAGGTCAAAGCATCATACAGGTTTATGATCTAGAAGTTACCAACAAATTAAAAAGGGAAAGATCTACCTCTTCTACCTCTTTAACTGCATTTGTGCAACACACTTGCAAGAAGTTATAACAAAAACACATGAAAGAGCAAGCAATTATAATGGAGAATAGCTGAAGCCTCTTATGTGATACGTGATACATAAATTGCTGAGAGGCACTGAAAGAGATTAATAGAATCTCCAACACACATTCATTAAAACTCCCAAAATAGAAAAAAAAATCATTAGTGCACACTTTGTGCCTGTGAAATGGTCAGTATGATTTTACTTACACCTCCAAAATCTATTTCCCATCAAGTCTGGCAATCTGGTGGTATAGACTGCTTGCTCTCTCTCTACCAAACTGGGAATTTGCCAAACTTAGCTTCTGTGACTACCACTACAGCTTTTCATTTTTCAATCTGCTTCCTAAAATCAAAGCTGCCCACCCTTCAGAGCAGAGTAACAGCAGTAGAATACAACAGAATAGAAAGAATAGAAGATTTTAGTTCATCTGGAAGTTCCTCCTACAAAGATCAGCAAGTCCAACTGCCTGACCTCTCAGGGCTAATTAAAAATTAAAGCATATTATTGAGTGCATCGTACAAACACTTCTTGAATGCTGACAGGCTCGGGGCATCCACCAACTGTCAGGAAGGCTGTTTCAATGTTTGACCACCCTCACAGTACAGAAATGTTTCCTAATATCCAGTCTGACCCTCCCCCAGCATAGCTTTGTGCCATTCCCACACATCCTGTCATTAGTGACCAGGGAGAAGAGACCAGCACCTCCAGCTCACTTCTCCTCAGACACTTGTAGAGAGCAATGGGGTCAGCTTTCAGCCTCCTTTTCTACAGACTTGACAACCCAAGTATCCTCAGCCTCTCCTCATAGGACATGCCTCCAGCCCTTTTGCCAGATATTTTCATGTATAGAAATGCATAGAAAAGTATACTTTCACATAAGAAAGGGTCAAGAAAATAAACGTTTTTTGAAAAATAGGTACATGATACCAAATACAGCACTCGTCTCTAATTGCAGTTGACATAAAACTTACGGGGAGTGGCTGACTCATCAGAGGGCCGTGCAGACACTCAGAGGGACCTCAAAAGGCTGGAGAGGTGGGCTAAGAATCTCATGAAGTCCAACAAGGAGAAGTGCAGAGTCCTGCACCTGGGGAGGAACAACCCCAGGCACCAGCACATGCTGGGGGCCACCCAGCTGGAAAGCAGCTTGGCGTAAAACCACATGGGACTCCTGGTGGACACCAAGCTGAACATGAGCCAGCAGTGTGCCCTTGCTGCTAAGAAAGCTAAAGGTATTCTCAGCTGCATCAGGCACAGTATCACCAGCAGGTTGAGACAGGTGATCCTTCCACTCTTCTCGGCATTGACGAGGCTTCAAATGGAGTTCTGTGTCCAGTTCTGGGCCCCTAGCACAAGAGAGACCTGGACATATCAGAGACTCCAGCAGCAGGCCACCACAATGATCAAGGGACTAGAGCACCTCTCATATGAGGAAAGGCTGGTGGAACTGGAGCTGTTCAGCCTGGAGAAGAGGAGGCTCAGGGCAAACCTTATCAATGTGTATAAATACCTGAAGGGAGGGTGTAAAGAGGATGGAACCATGCTGTTTTCTGTGGTGCCCTGTGCCAGGACAAGAGGCAATGGGCACAAACAGGACCACAAGAGGTTCCATCTAAACATCAGGAAGCACTTCTCTACTGTGTGGCTGTCAAAGCACTGGAGCAGGTTGTCCAGAGAGGCTGTGGAGTCTCCCTCACTGGAGATCCTCAAAAGCCATCTGGACGTGGTCCTGTGCAATATTTGCTCTAGGTGTCCCTGCTTGAGCAGGGGGGTTGGACCAGATGACCTCTAGAGGTCCCTTCCAACTCAAACCATTCCGTGCTTCTGTGTAATTTGTATTTCAGGTCAGTAGCAATAATTAAAGCTGGTAGCTGTGTTAATACTGGCAGGCAGTGAACATGGGAATAGCTTGAGAGTAGTGACTGACAGATCAGATTCACAGATACAAAATGAGATTAGTAGAAATCTAAAATCAGATGAAAAATACGCCAACAAGTAAGCTCCAAAAACATTCTGCTTTGGATCTGAATTCCCACTGTTGCCTGAATACTTCAGAACATGCTCAAATTAGCATGAGATTAAAATCATGCATATTCTTAACTGCTTTAATATGGATATCAGTTCTGACTAGGAACATGTTCGTTCACATTTCATTAAATCAGGAATATATTAATATAATGATGGAAATTTGCTTCACATACACTGGATGTTTCCATGCCATCTTCTTCATCCTTTTTTGCAACAGGCACTTCTCCATGTTCCAAGATACTTCCACAGCTTTCTAGGTCACTCACATCATCCTCTATAAAGGCATTTTCCTCTTTACCTGGGTTTTCCACCTCAGAAGTATGTTCCTGCGACTCATTGAATGGTATGGGTGACACAGACTGATATTGAGATTTCAAACTCTCTTCTTTTCTACAGTTATCAGAAATGGGCACACAGGCCACTGAATCTTCAGATGTAATGACAGAGTCATTGGAATCTGCTCCATCTTCATCTTTGATTTTTGTTTTCTCTAGTGTAGGAGCAGGACTGGAAAATGATTCTGAAAGGATGCTTCCTGTGGATCAAAAATATGATTTGTTAATAAATCTCACTTTCTATTAGTGTATTTCATTTCAAAACAATACAAACAGCTCCTCATTAAGGAGACACACAAAAAAGTAGGTGTTAGAAGGACATGCAAAAAAGTGGAGTACAGGTTTGACTGCAGAATATATTCAATGTAAAATTTTGAGTTTGGAGTGTGAAATACAGCTTTAATTTTTTAATGGGTATTTTGTGTTTGAATTACAACAGTTTTAAGTCATTCAAAATAATCAATATTTGTTTAGTCTGACAGCCCACATGCACTTTATACTGGTTGGAAAAAAAATAATCAAATATATATATATATATATATATATATATATATAAAAGGTTGGTATATTGAACTTTATTTATACCTATTATGCCAGTTTCGCAAATGAAAATAAACATCAACTAATGGTTTATAATTAGGAAAATATATTTCAAATAGATACCAAGAATATTCTGAAAACAACAGCGCTGGTCTAAAAATGAAAGGCAATTAGCATAAATTTAGAGTTCAGCAATTACCATAATTCTATATTTCAGTGATGCTGAAGGGTGAATTTGTGGATTTTGTTGAAATTCTTTATCTGTGGATGTTTCAACACGTTTCCATATTTTCTAGGTTGTTTTCCAGACACAATAGGCTGGAGAGCTGACCCAAAAAACATGCTTTTAAAGAACTCTATTGCCACATATCACAGTGAATACTAGTTCAGCAGCCCTTCCAAGGCATTACAGAAAATGGTCTCTGAAGTACATTTCTTTACAGTGGTTATATGAATGAGCCTTTCTGAAAAATGACTTTGTCGGGTCAAGTGTTTATGAAATTTAGTAATATAAAGCCCATCTGATACCAAAACAGAACCTCTGTGTATGAAGACTACTGCCCTTATGTAGCATAATGACTGTACTAGATGGAGATGACACAGGACAAACCACTGGCTCCTATGTGAATACTGGCGCTTCTAGTGTCATATCTAAAAAGGCCTTTTCCTCTACAAAGGTCTAGGCACCACCCCTCAATAGCACAAAGGGAAGGACAGTGCTCTACTCTTCTCTGCTTTTCCTTCTCTTGTCAAGGAGCACATGAAGTCAGGTATCTAAATAACACTAGCTTCTCAGTGGCCATGAACACTCCAAACCTCTGATAAAGCTGGAGGAAGCTGTAAAGGAACAGCTTCAAAAAAAAAAAGGGGGGGGGGGGGGGGGGGGGGGGCTTTAAAATACAGCAACACCTAAATTTAAGAAAGAAATTCTCAGCTTCCAGTTTGGAATTAGCACTTTGGTATCTTTATGAGGTTCAGTCCTGGTTTTTACCACCTCCAACAAAACTAATACCATTCAAAAACACAGAAAGAGTGTCTAAATATACAACCAAATTTTAAATCTGTGGGACTGCTCCCAAACCTGAAGTTAAGACTGTAGTTTCCCTTTCTGAACAAGAATGTGAAACTATACCTTAATTACAATGAAATTCAATGGTAACAGAAGAAATAAGTTCCAGAACAGACCAAACACAAAATTATAAAATCATTGTGGGGGAAAAAAAAAGAAGCATCCTTGACTTGAAAAAGCCTTTGTAACTTACATTATCAGACAAAACAAGGGAAAATTACAACTCTTCAGTCTCAGAGCATTTTTTGCACAAGTATGACCACTTCTAATATGCAGTATTACTGATGAAAATACATGTAGCATATTGGAAGCATATATGCTCTATAATGTTTGCATTATTAAGAGTTGTTTCCATATCACTTACCACTTTTTTTTTTGTATAGCCTGTCAGTCAATTGAAGAAGTATAATTTAAAAGAATCATCCTCTTTGCACACTCAACTAAAACAATTTATCTGATACTACTCTCAGTTCAGAATATTAATTTGGTCATTCACTCTTATTGAATCAATCTTCTCTGAATAACTTTGTAAGTACATATTTTTAGTATGCTACTTAGGGGTGTACATTGCTCTAATGTCCACTAATTTATAACATTAGAGTATCAATAGCGTACAACTTAGATGTGAAAAACCATCAGTCCTTATCTCACCTGCACCCTTGGCATTATCCAATAACACCTGATCCAGCTGCATTCTACCACTGTTTTCTTCTTCCCCAGAAGGCACTCCTGCACTTAGTCGTCTCACTTTTTCTTCTTGTTTTTCATTGACCTTGAAGTCATCAGCAGTTGCTTCAGTCGCTATGATTTCTGCATCAGTTGCCACAGCAGACAGTCTCTTGTCCTCTGGAGTTTTAAGCTTTTTAGATCGAGATCTGTTGTGCTGTAAGCTGTTATAAGAGATACTGCTGTCAGAGTAGAATGTCTGTCTTGGATAAGATAAAATGTCTACCAATATATATATGTCCCTTTCACCTGCTTAAAGACAGAAGGAAAAAAAAGAGAGAATTTTTCATCTTTTTGTATTGAGATGGTGTTTACAATTTATTATGGGATAGGTTAACGATTCAATTTGACCTTCTAACCTTTTATCAGTATTCTATGACAAAACTTAAATTGTAAAATAACCTTAACTATTACTTAATGAGCATCCAGACTAGCTTTTCGATTAACTCTTTTTTTTGAACATGAAAGAGACTAACCCTTATGAAAGTAATGAAGACAAAACATTCTCAAATGCACTAAAACCAGGTCATATTTCCAAACACTAATGCCAGTACAATTGTAGTCTGAATACCCTTATAAAATGTGGTCTGTTTACATACCATATACATTTTTATACACATATTAACATAAACAAGCATCTGAATAAATAAAAAATTCTAGTCACCAAATATTTTGAATGGCTATTGTATCAAACAATGCATTTGATAATGCTTTTTAAAAATAAAAGTTGAAATAGTATAGAGTTTATGCACCCTCGGAATCAGAAGAAAGACGCTGAAGCAAGAGATATATCAGCCACTTTGAGAAACTGGTTTGTTATTTATGTGCTCAAGGTAAGGGTAACAGGAGACTGGAGTCCAGTTTCAAATTCAACTATGTAATACAGGAGAAGATGATGTTTACCTGCTTCATAGAATCATAGATTTGTTCAGGTTGGAAAAGACCTCTGAGATCATCTAGCCCAACCTTTAACCTAGAACTGACAAGCCCACCACTAAACCATGCTACTAAGTTCTACATCTACACGTTTCTTGAAGACCTCCAGGGATGGAGACTCAACCACTTCCCTGGGCAATCTATTCCAATGCCACAAAACTCTTTAAGTAAACAAATTTATCCTAATATCCAACTAAGACCTCCCCTCCTTCACAAGTTTGTGAACCACAAATCACACATCAGGTTCCAAAACTGATGACACAGTAGTGATTAATTCCCAACTACAGCAAGAACTTGGACTCTAAACACCTCCAGAAAAAATATTTTGTTACCCCTTCCCTTTTATCATGTGTCATCTAATGTACACATTTCAACACAATCTCTACAAAGCAATATTAGAAATAGTATTTCTACAAAACAGTAATTCCAAAATATTTGCCCAAGTATGACACATGGCCATCCATCCACAACAGCCAGCCTAATTACTGTTTACATGCAGTTCTACTGTAGCAAAGTATTTCAGCCACAAACATCAAACTTAAGCTCTGCATGTCACTATGTTCATGAAAATTCCCATACATGGTATTTCTTCTGTTTTCCCTCTTTTGGAACATGCATTATCCTCATAATCAAAATGATCAGAATTTCAATCATAGAATCATAGAATAGCTTGGGTTGGAAGGGACCTCATAGATCACCTAGTTCCAACCCCCTTGCCAATCAACACATTACAGTAGAAATTAAGCTGAGTAAACATTTCATCCTCCCTTCACAATATGCATTGTTACCACGGCTGAATAAAAGCCAACTGAAGAATTAAGAAGCATGGGAATTGTGTTTATTAGCTCAGCTCAGTGCATGAAATCACACCATGTGTTCCCATGCTAAAACTTTCAATACATTGTTTAAGTCTTTTAGTTAAAACTGCATTGGAGTGTAAACTTGCAGTTACGCTGTACAGTGAAATTTACTACAAGTGAAATTACCTAATCAATAAAATTTCTCTCTCTCACTCTCTGTTTCAGTTAGTACTATCCATGCATTAAGAAACTGGCTGTTCCAGCTTCTTCACCAGATGTCTTCAAGAACTCAATTCTATCCCACAAATTACATGTATTATTAGAAACCCCAGAACAAACCCAATGTCTTCAACTATGTTTTTCCTCTACAATTGGAACTGATTCTCTTCCTTAGCGTTTGATTTTCACAGAATCACAGAATTGTCTAGGTTGGAAGAGACCTCAAGATCATCGAGTCCAACCTCTGACCTAACACTAACAAGTCCTCCACTAAACCATATCACTAATCTCTACATCTAAGCATCTTTTAATGACCTCCAGGGATGGTGACTCCACCACTTCCCTGGGCAGCCCATTCCAAATCCTCACAACCCTCTCAGTAAAGACGTTCTTCCTAATATCCAACCCCTGGCACAACTTTAGTCTGTTCCCCCTCATCCTGTCACCAGGCACATGGGAGAACAGGCCAACCCCCACCTCGCTACAGTCTCCTTTAAGGTACCTCTAGAGAGCAATAAGGTCGCCCCTGAGCCTCCTTTTCTCCAGGCTGAACAAGCCCAGCTCCCTCAGCTGCTCCTCGTAGGACTTGTTCTCCAGACCCCTCACCAGCTTCATTGCCCTTCTCTGGACTTGCTTGAGCACCTCCATGTCCTTCTTGTAGTGAGGGGCCCAAAACTGAACACAGTACTTGAGGTGCAGCCTCACCAGAGCCGAGTACAGGGGGACAATCACTTCCCTCGCCTTGCTGGCCACACTGCTTCTTATGCAAGCCTACTGTCTTCTTCAAGAAACACATTCATTCACAAAGAAAATGAAGAATTCCCAGTTTAAGAGCAAGACAGAAAGGTAATTATGTTGTAAAGCAATTTGAAGGAGGAAAGAGGTCTTAACAGTATTTTTAACCCAGCATGCCTCTCTCCCCAGAAACTAGATACCAATAAAACAGTACAATCTAGGCTGGAAGCTGAGTAGATTTTTGTTAGATAATGAAAAAGAAAATCCATAAAGGTCATGTTAAGTAAAATCAAAATATGAAAGCAATAGTGCACAAATAAAATTTGTGCAATGTAGAAAAAAAACAAAAAAAAACAAACAAACAAACATCATGCATGCATGAAGGAAACATATCCTGCTATGAAACTGCTTTAATAGTATTTGACAGCTTCAACTGACAAGCTGAAACTTTATTCTCCTATTTTTGTTAGTGGTGTCAGCATAAATAACTGGGATTTAGACTCTCGTTATGCCAAATTCTGGTCTCTCGTTGGCCTGTGGTAGATGCAAAAGGGTTTTGGCTGCTACACTTTGAGTCTGCCAAATAAGCAGTGATATCTCCATGGAGCTAGATGGCAGTGAGGACTAAGGCTGATGCTAGAGACTAAACACAGCTGTTGGGATTCTGCCATAGCTTCATGACATGTTTTTCCAATTTAATCTCCATCCCAACTGTGAGGAGACGTCTCTTCTGTCTTTTGTTTGCAGAAGTAACTAGAAACAATGGCAACCATCCATTGAAAAATTTTCGGTAATAGTCTTTACTAAAGAAGGATTCTAAACACCACACTGGAATGCATTTTGATGATCTCCATACTCATTCACTTCAGCTATGTATATAACTTGTAAGCTACGAATGAACTTTTCACTTAGTTACTTTGAAAGACTTTACTTGTCCCCACATCCACCTTAACAAAGCAAAAAAAAAAACACTTTACGTAAATTAATTAAAATAGAATTTGGAGAAAGGAGCACTGAGGAAACAAAAAGGAAACTGACTTCAGATTGAAAACAACTAAATGAAGGATAAAGAAACAAATACCTCTTGGGAAGCTTCTTTTTCTTTCTTCTTTGCTGCCAGATCTTTACTTCAGGTGTTGATTCAGGAGTAGGTTTTGTATGATCTATGATATATAAATCTTTGCCTTGTTTCCACAGCTGGTATCTGTCTGGTTGAAACTTCTTCACAAAAATGTCCATGGATATTGTTACCATGTCTTTCCTGCATGTGCACTGCAAGAGAATAGAGGAATGTTTAAGTGACAAGTTATGTAATGTGCCACAGTTTGCAGTAAAGAAAATCCAGAATAAAAATCCCACGTGTGAAAGCCAACTTTACTTTAATCAAAACTTTTCTCTTTTCCATCTTCCTCACTTCTTCTGAAGGTAAGGAGTGTTCAAGAGAAGGTGCTATCTCAACATACGTGACATTCCAGGATTCCACAACAGGTACTTATGGACACTCCATTGTTTTATTAACTCTTAAAATTAAGACCAAAAATAAATTATAGCATTTCTTCTGTAAACTGTTCTTGATAATTTTAAGCATAATATGTTGAACCCAGAGACTGCACGTTATCTTCAGTAGAATCATAATTTTCTTAAAATTATGCATGTTGTATCCACCTGTCCCAAAGGCCTTTGCAGGCATTTATAGAGTTCTAACTTTTATACTTCTTAATAAAAGAAATTTGACAAGTAGGAAATGCACACAAGTACCATACCAAGTTTCAGTTTTATTCAGGTTTTCCTACAAAGAGAAAAGGACAAACAAGAGAGGGGAGTAGACACTTTGGAACATTATGTTTTACAGCCCTGAGGAGTGTTATGAACCTGTAATCTGCCTTTCTGTGCAATGTCCACCCTAAAATCTCATGCAGGACTTCCATCATCAACTTTGTTTTCGTCCCTGACCAAACTATTTTTATACTGCTTTCCTTTACAAATTCTGCACGAGTGGCATATTCTAGAGTAACTGAGTTAACACTGCACAATGATTGTGAAAATCCATAGGATTCTTCATGGAAATACTGGAAATGCTAACAGATGATTTTAAAACTATACCTAATACTCCAAAATACCTACTTATTAGGAGACTGCAATAAATAAAACAATATGCCTGTGGTAGCTAAACTATTCAAATTAAAAACAAGTTGACTGGCTAAAAGAAGAGATTCTTAAGTGGAAAAACATTTTAAAAACTTAGTGCTTTAGCTAAATGACTCTGTTAAGGGGCAAAACTGAGATGATGTTTTATTTCAGGTAAACAGGTATATACAAAAAAATGGTAAATGCATACGTCTGCCACAGTTGGTTTAAAAGGGGTGGTAAAACAAGGAGGGTGTTTACTCATAGAAAAATTGAAACACTTGTGACTGAATGCTAGCATTCGATAGAATGGATGCTTTCTGTGTGCTAGATGCCAATTCCCTTGCCTGCTCTTTCCTCCTATCATTTCTAATCTACCCTTCTTCCACTCTGAAAGTATAAGCAGTAAAATGTACACAAGGAATCTGAGAATTATTAAATTGCTTGCTTCGTTTTCAGAATCTTCAAAAAAAGGTTAAATAGGAAAACATGAAGGCAAAAGCTAGATCAGCACTGAAATAATACAGTAATGACTTCATGGAAAGTCGCTGCAAACACAGTCATTAAAAATAACAAATTTCAGCCACCACAAGGAATTATTTTTTATTTAACGTCATATGAGGCCCAATCTCCAGGTAGAACAATTTTATTGACCAACTTTCTAATCTTAAGCGTGCAAGTAAACTTACTATTTCATTATTTGAAACTTATGCCAAAGGGATATTGTCTTCTTTCTTCAGACAGTAATTTCATTCTTCTTTCTGACTTTGGAATACTTTATTATTATTATTATTAAATGCATAGTTCCATTGCACATTTCTGAATTTACATGATGTTCATTACATATGCATTAATGATGTTTATTATGTATGACATTTTCCACTGGATGGTTTCCTCCACATTTTGAACTCAAACTGGAGTGAGTTTCCAAACAACGATGCCTAGAGTCTCCAGGGTCACAAAATGAGATGAGGTATGCCATATCCATATTTGATGCTATCATCACAGCTTCATTCCACACATCTCCTATCATATCCTACCTGACTATGGTAATCAGAACAAATCACAGCACTGTCCCAATGAATTTTACCACTACTGCAGTAACATATGTAGGGACTCACACAGCTATTGTGAAGCCCTGTGCCAATCTCAAAAGCTAGCATCAAAACCCTACTTCAAAAGATGTCAGAAGAAAACTTTCTCAACTCCTCTGACTACATACAGATAACAGAACTACACAGCAACCTGATTTTTGCTGTAAAGGCAGAGTTACTACCACTGCAATAGACATGGATTTAGCAGAATCTGACATCAGTTATGGATTTAGCAGAATCTGACATCAGTTTAAAATTACATTTTATTTAATTCATATGTTTACAATTTGACTGTTAATTAAGTCCTACGTTCACCTAACAAGAAGGCTGTAGTAACTCATCCAAATGCCAACATCAGTTTTTCATAATACTACCCTCTAATGGAAGATTGAGTAGAAAGAAGAAAAAAAAATGAAGTTGTAGCTTTAAGAAGCTGCATCTTATGACAGTTTTTAACCAAGAGTATCTGCCTAGAATATTCTTTTTTCAAATAACTTGTATACATGTACATATACACACATTCTGCAAAAAGACTTAACATTATTTGAAACACAGTCTCATTCATAAAGTACCCTAATCAGTCACAATGAGCAGTAACAGGAAAGGAATTGAGATATTTGGACAGTGGAAAGATGCAGATACAGTCCACTATATTATTTTTCACTTTTAAAAATAGAATTTGTAACATAGGACAAGAGATACTCCATTTTCTCTTTATTTACACATAAAATCCTTTCAATTTCAAGACAAAATTTCTACACACAGATTAGAAATGTTTTGTTAAGTAGAAATTAAAAGGATTACTGGTTTTGCTGTTAGACATCAAGGCTTCTCGCAGTCTGGAAAAAAAAAAGCTATCGTTTAAGTCAAAAGAAAAAAATCATCAAGAAAAAATACATTCTATGATGTATTCTATGATTCTACGATAATAACATATGAAAAGACTTAAAATAATGTCCAAATGACGCACAGAATTTCTGTCTTTCAGTAAGGTTTGATTAATTTCCACCAGTTTCTAACAGTATTACTTCAAGTGATTTAAAAAGAGCAATCAGATACTAGGAATACCATTGATTTTTTATAGAAGTTTTTAAACTTCTAAAAACACAGACCTCTGAGTAAAAAGTTAAAGAGAAGTGGCCATCATGCTCAACTCTACTATTGCTAGCCTGAAAATACAGGAAACACAGAAAACAACCTTCTAAGCACTAAAAGCTGTAAATATTTGGAGGTATCATATTACACAGTGAAAGCAGTTATGATCTGAAAACCATTTCTGCAATTTTTCCCTAAATTATGTCAGGAGAAAAAAAAAAAAGAAAAAAAAAAAAAAGAAAAAATGGTGGCTTTGATAAATAATTTGGAGGAGTGTTTCTTGGGTTCTTCTTGAGGGGGCAACAGTCTTTTCTCATGTCCCATTTGACTGACTTAGAGCTGACAGTTACATGGCTTCCTGCTTCAGAGACAAAAAGGTGAGTGAAAGCTTCTCTCTCCAAAGCAAAACTAAATGTCATTCTGATGGAGAAGTCTCTAGGGACATAGGCACAGGGACATGCCACTAAAACACTCACTATAGTACATTAACGGATGACAATTTTAGAAACGTGTAATATTTTTAAGAGTAAATGTGAAATCAAAGTTGCTAGACTAGTAAAATCATACAATCAGAAAAAATAGAAAAAAAAATACAAGTCATTATTTCTATAAAATAACAAAAAGAACAATAATCCACCCCAGTAAGCGCACAAATGTAATTTGTCCCAGGCCACTGTCTACCAGTGTAAGTGCTATAGGAGTTACCTCCATCATTTGGCAGCTGTTTGATGGCAGATTCACAAGAGAATGACAAAATGAGTAAGTTTAGAACATCCTGGTCAAGACTGAAATGCATTGATAGAAGTGAGAGATCATCAGTATACCTAACACAGCCCTTCCTGTAGATCCACTGTTATTCACCGATAATGTATGCTCACTACACAAAAAATGCACGTAACATGCAGCTATGTTGGTTCAGATCCCATTCTATTCAATGCAAGGAGTTATTTCCTATATTCAGTATAATCAGTCTGATATATATTCTTCAACCAAAGATTAGTACGACAATCGGAGAAATTAAGGGACCAGAACCCTCTCTCAGTCTTTTGGCCTTACAATTAACATTTCCAACATAATCATTAATACTATTATTATTTATTCTCTCATAAAGACACAGCTTGGAGGTAAGCAATTCAAATGACTTTTATTAGTAACTGCAAACACTGAATCGGAAAAAAAATGTATCAGCACCGTAACTAAATGGTATAACCAAACATGATATATATTTGTAATGAGTGTAAATTACCTTGGAGAGACATGCTCAGCCAAAATATTTTTTTTTCCAAATAAATGTTATTTGTGAATGGAAAAAGAGTAACTTTTGTATTTAAAAAATTAAGTTCTTCTCATTTGGGGCTCTAATGCAAACAATTTGAAATGAATACACCAAGCTTGTAGATTTTTATGCATATTTAACACAGAATCAAACACTTTTTAAAATAGGGGGATTTTTCCCCTAATTGTTCTTACTAAGATAATAGCAAGATTCATGTTTTGACCAGCAGTATTTTGACTTACTAACATCTACACTAGTACCTCAAAAAAAGCTCTTAAAACATTTTATGTCATTAAGAATCAAGTACACATCTTAAGGGTCTAACATCTTCCATTAATATTAAACTCTCTCAAACAGAACCATATGGGATTTTTTAAACTATCAAAAATATTAATGCTGTAGAGGTTGTATTTTACTGCAGCAGAAAGTAAATAGACAATTTATATCATTTGACTAGAAGAAGGTGAGGTGTGTTATAATATTTAACATATTAAGCTTAAGTAGCAGGAAGTTGTTGAACATTGCACTGTAACATTTCATACTTAGTGTAGCATTTTCTTAATTAAAATGTGATTTTCATTACAACTGAAATCTACTTTATTTAAAATTCACCCAACTTATTAATTTAAAGAATGATAGCTCATTCTTAGGCTAGATTTATTCCTTTACTTTGTGTAATC